TTGTCTACACCCTTTCAGGGTCGGTTGTTGGTCCTTTCTGGGCTGATTTTTAGAAAATGTCTTTTGAGAGACTAACCTTTCCATAACTGTTAGATTACACTTTTTTGAAATAATAAAATCTAGGTGCATATAATCAAATAATCAACTTTCTGCTTGATTTCTCCAGACTTTAAAGAACATGGCTGTGCCTTTTTAATATGCCCTTATTAATGGAAAAACTGAGTGCTCAGTAGATTGATTTTTTTTCATAACTTTTCAGCTGTACCTCTTTAGTCAGGCATTGTGCTTCTGAAGGGACACTTCAGCCTGCTATTGCTAAATAGGTCAATAACACCTTGAGATTAATTGGTTTAAAGTGCTGGAACTGAAAATCTCTAACCCCTCTTTTTTAAAACCAGTGATCCTACTGTTGTTAAGTCTATCGCTAACATGTTTAATATGTTTCTTTTTTTTTTTTAATAAGTAGGTTGCATTTAGAAATGTATTGGAATTTGTCATCTGTGTTAGAATGGTGCTGTTCAAATGATTGCTGTTTTTTTTTTCTGTTCTACCCCTACCCTCCAAACAGGATCTGCTTTTAGGCTAGGGAGCTTGCATGCAAAGATGAAAACTGAAGAATTGCATCAATGAAAATACCTAAGTCAGCTCTGCCTTCTATGATTTTATTCTCATAGTTCTAGCTCCAGTTAGAAAAAAATATGAATCTGGCAAAAAGCCACTGCAGGGCCTGGCTGTGTGCCTCATGCATTTTCCAGTCCCCTCGTTTGCTCTCAAGAGAGCTCTCTTATTCTCCTTCATGCTTAGTGACCAAAGTTCAGCAAAGGAACAAAATATTTGGCAGTCATCACAGAGGCAGCCGGTGGGGGGAACCATCCCCTGCTGTCACCCCCAGGGAGCGGGAGCTGACACACAGCTGGTAGGACACTGGTCTGGCCGTAGGTCCCTCATGTCTCCTGCTCATCTGTGTCTGCAGAGAGACTGAATGAAACCCCTTTTGGATGCTACAACTCTTTAAGGCTGAAAAATGCCATGGGTGGAGCTGGGAAGATTGTTGACTTTTAAATACAGAGGTGCTCTTTCCAGCCAGGGAGTGGCTGGAAATGCTGCCGCCCCTCAGAAGTGTCTTCACAGGGAAAATTGTGAAACATCTACCCTCAGCTCCCCGCTGCCTCTGAGCATGTTTCACAAACTCCACTCTGCAAGGGCTTCCTCCACTTCTTTAGTCATCCTTCACCTCTGCCACAGGGACTCTGTGGCCACCCACAAGCCCTTCTGATGTCTCCCCATCACCCTCACCCTTGGCCAGTGCTTCTCTCCAGATGCTCAGCATCAATCTGGCTGTGTCGGGTCCTTCTCCTGGTTGTCAGGGGAGCCAGAATCACCTTCTGCGTGGGGAGTTATAGGGACAAGGGGAGGTTAGAGAGCACAGGAGCAGGCCAAGTGGAGTATGTAAAACCACCAGGCAGGGGGCAGTACGGCAGGAGAAGGAAGGGAAACCTTGGGGGTTTCCAAGAGGTTTTGGTGTGGCAGAAGTGCAAGAGCCCGCAGTGACCAGCCCTGTGGGAAGATAAACCCGGGAGGGTAACGCTGGGGGGAACAGCAGCACTGAGTTCAGAAATAATCAGATGTTCATTTAAAATGAAGCACTGCTAATATTCCTTGAGGGGATTTCCACTTCGGGAGAGGTAGTTCATCCAACATTTGCTTCGAAAGAGATGTAAGAAGGTCTGAGAATGAGCCTCGGGAACACTGTTCCCTCAGCCTTTAGAAAGCCTGCTTAATATTCTGAAAAGTCACCCTAATCCTGTCAGGATTAATGCTGGGGAGAGAGCGAGCCAGCTCTCCCTGGTACAGCAGAAGTAACGCTGCAATGCACAGAATAATTCTGTTTTGACCTAAAAATCTGTTCCTTTACAAGTTAGTCATTTTTTGCTATACATTTTCTAAACTGTAAATGTCTTCTAATGTCTTTAGATGTCTTCTAAATGTCTTTACCCAGCACAACACGCCTCGGGAGCCGAGTCTCAGTCCCCGTTAGCTGCCATGGCTCTGCAGACCAGAGGCCAGTCCTGACGATTTGCACTGGTGGACGTCAATACACCAATTTAAGGTGCCTGCGGTGTCCACGCTGTGTGTAATTAATGCAGCCAGAGAAATTCCTGCCCCTTCTGAGCACCATCCTTGGCCATCGTATCAGTCTGTCAGAGGCGGGTTGCCCTTGTGAACACAGAGATGCCAAGTGGACACACACAAGCTGGCATAAGCATACAAGCGGCATTTAACTAGGTGTGTGGCAAGTCACTAACTTCATCAATTAGCAAAAGTGCAGCAGGCCTTTCATACCTCAATGTTGACTTAAAATCTATAGTAAGTCATCACTAACATGGTGATCTCCCTAAATTGGTAATCGTCCCTCCTGAATCTGGGAGAGGAAGTAATGCCTCCCAGGTGCTTATTTTCTTACCTTCATCTGGACCCAGCGATCAGAGCGTGAAACATTCAAATTCACGTTCAGCACAAAAAGCCCAGCCTGCACTTTATATCTCTTTTTCTTCCCCTCATTGTTTCTTGGTACGGACAAGAAATCAGAGTCAGCAAAGGGGTTAAACCCAAATGCAGGAGCTACAGGTTGCAACAAATCTGACAACCTCCTTTCCCCTCTCTTTTCTCCCCCTGCCGAGGATTTTTCTCATCGCACTGCACACCCAGCCTCTCTGGAAGCACATGGGTAGTGTTCATCTGCCACAATGATGAGTCCATCTTGGACTCTTGGGGGCACAGTCACACTACATATAAACAATAAAACTCCTAGCTGCTATAATTATGTTATCAGCTGTGAGTAGTATGTTCTTTAAAAAGCCTATGGAATATGCTAGAGTATGCTGAAGGTGGTTATAAACTATCATTCCAAGATCAGTTTCTTGACAGTTGGTCAAAATAACAACCAAGCAGTTACTGAAATATTCATCAGAAATTTCTTTGCCTTCTTAAGTAATCTTAATCGTATTAAGATAGCTATATTATTAGGAAGTATTGTGAGGGCAGAATTCAAAATCTCTTCTCTGACACGTATTCCTCAGCCACCGGGACTCCATCAGCATTTTGATAAGGTCATGTCAAGAAACAGTGAGCCCCTAGCTAAAAATTAGTTATTTAACAGACCTACTGAAAAATTGGGATCTCTCTCTTTAAACGTTTGACCCTGAGGCAGAAGAGGAGGGGAGGGAAGGAGAAGGAGAGAGAAGATTATAATCGCTTTAGATAACAACCTGACTCATGGTAATAGCAGCTGAATTGTTACCCAAGTGCTTTTAGCAGGAAACAGCCACACCTAGAGAGGCACCTGTGCAGAGCGAGATTAGTTTTAAATGGAGGAAGAACAGAGATACAAACGCACAGTGGAAAGTAAGAAGTAGTTGTCTGTTTATGTAGAAACTGCCTTAAATCCAAGGGCTACTTCGTACTGCTTCAAATAATGAGATGTGGCTGGTATGTAGTTCATGTGAGAAGCAGGTACGCTACAGGGCTCAAAATGAAATGGGGATTTATATTTAGGCAGGGAAAAGAGAACACCCATATGTTGGGAAGAAGTAGTTGATGTTGTCTTTCTGGAATAAATCAGTTCCTGCAACAATTATGGCCCTTCCATGAATATAATTCATAAATGTCAGTCTGACAATACAAAATAAAACCTTTACTTGAATGTAGGTATGATTATATTGTGTGACTCACTTGGAAGTGAGACTGCATGAGAATGGAATGATTTGTACTTGATGGATTAATCAAATGTAAGCATCAAACATGCCCTCTGTGTGCGTGAGCTGTGCATCTAAGACTCGTCCTCCCCGCTGCCCTGCAGTGCCCTGCTGTGACGGCACCATCTTTGGAGTGCCGAGCCCCCCCGTTCTCGCTGCACCCCCCTGGCACAGCAGCTGCGGCGTGAGCCCAGCAGTCCAGAGGAGCTTTCCAGGTGGGTTTGGGCAGAGCTCTCAGCCCCTCTTCTCCACCAGCCCCAGCTGTTTCCTGCGTGGGTTCTGCGCGGGGAGCGGCTCTGGGTCACAGCCCTGCCGGCTGGGGGGAAGAGCAAGGTCTGGATTTCTGCGTAACAGAGGATAAAATGCTGTTTTGTTTGAGCAGGATGCGGTCTGTGGCACGGGTAGAGTTGAGTGTAAGGATCAATTATGTTCTCTGATAAATGTGCCGGATCTTTCAGGATGGGTATTGATTTATGCATTCCACTCTGCAAGTCGCTTTCTGCTACATCTTTTGCTGCTGAAATTCAGTGAAGTGAATGTGAATAGGAGGCAACGAAACTCCCAGGTTTTAAAAAGCCCGAGCCTGTATCTGTAGGACATAAAAGCTACTGTATTTGCTCACTTTTGCTGTCCTCCGCAAGCTACTTTTGTAGATTTTACTGTATCCTTTTATTCTGGGAGAGTTTCAAGAGATTTTGAGAGAGCAACTGGTAATGGATTTTGCATTCAGAACACACCTGTGTGCCTATGCATTACCGTGAATGCTATTTTCTCTTAAAAAATGTTATTTTCTCTTAAAAACAGCATTTTCTTTCTATTTGTAAATTGCATTTGATCACAGTCTAGAAATATTATGTGCCAGATATTATCTTGAATTGCTGAATAATAGTATTTGGGTAGGCTGCTATGGCAACAGATATACAGTCTCTGGATTCACACATCAAAGGTTCTTATGGCAACAGTTTTTTGGATACCCCTTCATTGCATAAGCAGGAAAATATACTAAGCTGTCCCAGTAATCTTTGGAAAGACAGCAGCAATAGAATAAACTGACATGTTTCCCATTTTACATTTGTTTTTGAAATATATATAAAGGCATTGCTTGTATACAAAAAAAAAAAAAAAGGCAAATAAAAAGAACACAAAGGCCAAAATGACACTGTGGGATCAATAACATGAAAATATTTTATGAATATTTATTATAAATTAGTATTCGTATTATACTGATATGTAGAAACTCAACCAGTGATGGATTGGCTTGACAACATGTTAAACATTATGCAGACTCAAAGTAGGCAACTGCCCTTGGCACAAGGAGCTCTTTTTTTTTTCTTGTTAAGACCTAGTGAAATTTTACAAAAAAAGGACCTTCTTTTATAAATAGATCAGGTTCAAACGACCTTGACCTATGATACACAGCAAGGATCCTAACAAAAGAAGTGGCTAGCCATGCTGCTGAGCGGTCCGCTTCAGCTTTCCCCGTTATTCCCTTTATTATTTTGCTACACGACTGCTCCACAGTTGCAAGTCTCTAAATCGTTGGCACAGGTGGTGTCTGTCTGTCATCACAGGTCACCAGTGTCCATTGGAAGAGTTCAGTTCAGTGCAAAGCACACCGGTATACACGCGCGCTCCTACTGATGAAGCCTGTTTGGAAACAGTTTTTTTTTCACAAAAAAGGGATGGCAACCTTTGAACTGGAAGACAGCAGTGAAATAATTAAGGTTAGTATAGAAGAAACTGGAAATGTCTATCACTTGGTATCTTTAAAACAAATTATAAAAAATTCTGTGAGGGATGTCATAAGGAAAGCCTCTTAGGGTGGGGCAATGAACTAGATGGCATCCTAAAGTCTGTATGTCTGTGGCTCTGACATGACTGTGATTGTGCTTGCATGGGCGTAAGCCTTCACTTCACACAGACCTAGAGGCAGGATGGCAGACTCCAGACAGAGGAAAGTTGAAATGATATGTCAAGAACGTGGAGTAGAAGAACACCTGAGCACCTGGAAAATTTCGCATGCTCTTAGCCCTTTTTCTACAAAACTTTTAATACCTGAGGCTCACTGAAATAAGCCTTTAGGGAAAAACTTATTTAAAAAAGCAAAACAACACAGTAAATCTTCTGGTCCACAATAGGGGCTGTAGAGTACAGGTATTTTTACTTATTTAATGTGTACCAGAACATTTAATTTAAGTGGTAGATGGCAAGTGCATTTTTATAAAGCAGAAAAATGTTTTAAGAAACTAAAAATTGACTTTGCAGAACATAAAAGCTTTCTAATGGCAGACATTCAAATACTATACATTAGTGTGGCTATATGGGGAAATATGCAGACTAGGTGTGCTCATTTCTGAAGATATTTTTTCACTGGCTATTTGTAAGAAGCGGCTAATGACAATGTCTTTGGCCTTGGTGGTCTCCATATTCCTCTCCCGTGATATCTGCGTGCTGATTTGATCTACGTTAGTCATGATAAGCTCGGAGGCCAGGATCTGAGTGGGGGATGCCCTGTTTGCTGTGCTGTCCATGATGTACTGCTTATACAGTTCCAGAAGCTTCTGCTCGAGGTAGTCATTCAGGGCTGAGTCAGAGAGGGGTTGCTGGTGGGGCACTAAGCTTGCCAGCCGCCAGCACGAGGAGTAGCCTTGGACCGGCTTGCGGATGGTGTCACTGGAGGGGGGGACCTTCATGGACTCCATGGGGGGAGGAATCTCTGAGGACTCCAAGAAGGGGCCTATGCCGCTGTCACAGGCAAAATCCGTCGTGACTGAGCTAATTGGCACCACGTAGTCCCCGGCTATATGCAAATCATTGTAGTTCTTGCAGATGCTTTTGCAGGAAGATGGAACCAGGTAGGTGTCTTTCTTTGCCAGCCTCTCACAGACATGTACAGCTGGAGACGGCGGCCCTGTGGACACGGGCTGCTGTGTAGGCTGTAGGAGATTATCCTTCTGCCTTCTGCTGTGCTTGCTACCTCTAGAGCAGACTGAGGAAATGCACTTGCCAGCAGATCTGCATCTCTGAAGGAGGCTTTTTCCTTGGGCTTCATCCGTGGAAGAATAATTCATGGACCTCATTTCATACACCACTTCCTCAGCTGAACTCTTGCTGTAGAGATCAGGGTTCAGGTCTTCACAAAGATAGGTGATTCTGTATAGGTAACCTTCCGACAGCATCCTTCACCAAAGGAAAAGAACCACCAGAGGACACAAAAATGACAAGAAGAAACCATTAGTTCATTACATTCTCATTGAGCAGTGATTACACTCATAAGCCTGTTACTAGCTGCAGAGAGATGTTTCCAATTTGGACATGAACAAAAGTGTCTCTCTCTCTCTCTCTTTCTAGAGGACTTGAGACAGTGAGTGAAGCAATCAGCTAGTTTCCTTGTTGTGCTCTTAACTCAATCACATAAAAGCATATTCTGTATAACACAACGCATGGCATGTCCAATATATTCAACGACAAGTGAGTTGGGAAGAGAGGAACAAGAACTGGTTTGTTATGGTAATAGGTGCTGCAATAGTTTACACTTAAATATGTATATTTTTGCCCTTGACGTCAGTAAGAAGTTAAGGGGTTCCCCCTTTTTCTCATATGCTTTGAAGCATCTTTTGTTGTGTGTGGTTTGTCAGCTGCCTCTGAACTATGTTGATTTGAGATTCATATTGAGAGTATCACCCCTTCTGTTCCAGGCTTATCAATGACTGTAGGTGTGGTTCCTTTTTCATTAAAAAGTCTCAGGTCATTAAATTACTATTTTGCACTTCTGCATGTCAAGCAGGATGGAATTAATTGTCTGTAACTTTTAGACATGAAATGTGACTGGCAAAAGCAAGGCATTTTGGAGGCATGATTCATCTGGCCTGTTTTAGACACCTAAATCGAAATGAAATGAATTGTGCCCTAGATTTGCTTATCACTCTCCAGCTGCTATAAAAAGATCTTAAACTGACTACCCTAGATGTAGAAATCTGTGGTGTACTTTTAAAGAGATACGTTTCAGTGCAATGCATAGGAAAGTGCACATTTCAGAAGTACTCCGGCTCCTTCGCTGTTGGATTAGTAGTGAGCACCACCAGCTCTGAAATCAGTTTCCATTGCGTTTCTACAAAGGCACAATCAGGTTCCAGCAGTCACTCTCTCTCTCTACTCTCCAAGCAGGCAGGTCAGTCTCAAAAGCTGCATAGACGTATTAGTAATGAAAGACAGGACTCACTAGCAAAGTGCATCGGTATATCAGTAAATGTTCCGCCCAAGCTTTAGCAGCTCCGCTACCACATAATTGTTCTTAAGTCCACCTCTATGTCTTTTTTTTTTTTTAAACAGATGTCAAGGAGATGATCAATGCAAAAGATGTCCTGAAGAAATTTTGTGGTCCAGCAAAGAGAAAGTATATGTTAAGTAAAAATAAATTAAAATTAAAAAAAGCTTTTTTCCTTTTTAAAGTACAAATTATATTGTGTGATAGAGGAACAAATAACTTGTCTTCGTTTTGATAGCAAATAGTTTTCTCCATTTACAATTTAATCCAATTATATAATTTTAATCCTTAACGGATACTGTCTCTGCAGATACGAACACATGCCCCAGTTATGTGACAGTTTGCCTGTCTGTCTCAAAACACCCGCTGTGATGGAGCACCCAAATGGGACCACCTTCCCACAAACTGTGAATGGGGAGGTGGCATCTTTCTGGCATGTGCTCCGCTACCCTGTGGTGCTGTCAGCTACTTGACTTATCTTCTCCAAGGGTGAAATGGCTCTAATTTCTTGGTAAAGTATTTCATGTGTCACAGTTGCTAGTGCAAGATGCTGCACTAATAATAAATGTTGGCTAAATCCTATCCAAGGATGGATATAGACTTTACGCAGATGTTTGGAAGGAGACAGCGTGAGAAAACACTTTCCTCAGGGGAGCAAAAGATCACTTCCACGCTATGAAGAAGAAGAAGCTTGGAGGGAAAGTAAACTTCCTTCAGAAGCAAATATTCATGGAAATTAAATGTGTCCAAACACTTGCTTTGGACCCTGGATCCTCTCTGCTGCTGCCGGTTGTGTAAGATTTCCCACAGGCAGGTAACATTTAATGAAAAGTGACTGATTTACACAAGAGGGGAAAAAATCGTGTTTGGGTCTTGGCATTCCTTCCAGTATGCCTCTGTTGTCTTGGTTTAGGTTTTAGCTGTGATTAAGATGCCACCACAGAAATCTTAGCCAAATGCTAGAGCTACTCAGGTTATCAACTCATCCCCCTCCTTCTTCTGCTTCTGTTCCCCACTTTTGCAGTGCAAAGGCTGTTCCCCTCCCCTAGTCATCCATGGCCCAGATGGCTTTATTGTAAAGTCACCGCTACCTTCGGTTAGCATGAATCTGGAATTGTTATGCACTTATTCCTATGCTTATTTTTAATGCGTATTCTGAGAAATTAGTGGAAATATAACATATGGCCTGTTCACTGCTCAACCAACATCGGCAAAGCCCATTGCGTTCAGGCAGCATGTGATACTTCTGTCTTTCCTGCTCTCCAGATGTCTGTTTCTGTCATAAGGTGATACATTAGGGAAATGAAACCATTGGTTTCATTTCTTCGCACTGCATTCTGTAATACTTATTTTAAGAGTTTTAGAACCCACTATCTGGGACAGGAATGGAAACAAAAGAACCGGCAAATGCAAAAAGACTAGGCTTCCATTGTGCCCAGGAGCTGTGTGTTTTGCTGAATGAGTTACAAGCTTACCCTCTGAAGTTGGCAAGGGCTGTCGCACTAATCTGACTATTCCCAGCTCCGCAAGGAAATCTGATTGAGGTTTTGATAGGCAGTGTTGAGAGCCTGAATTCAAAAGAGAGGCATATACATATACTAGACATCCTAGTACTCACTATAATATATACCCCTGTCAATTCCATCATTACCAATGGCTGTCATGCAATTGAGTCACCTCTAATGCTTGCATTTTACATTTGATAAGAATGAAAATTTTCATTAATTCTACTTTCTTGTGCTCCTTCTCTTTATCCCCCTTCCATGCCACAGATACACATGTACACCAGGATACCAAGTGCACAGAGATTGTATCTAACGTTCTTCAGTATTTTGGGTTTTATGCTCCTTCAATTCAGATTTCACTTCTCTTTTCCTGAAAATAATTGCATGACTTCCATTGCACAAGGAAAAACAGTCCATTTTACAATTCTGATCTGATGCATTTTGCAAGTGAGGGGAACAAAGAGATTTTTCCTTGCATGGCTACTGTCCTGGCAATGGCAGCTGACTACATTCTATCTAAGCCTAGATCCCAGGTGAGACAGAGGGAGAAGAGTGTCTGGTTTATACTATCTTTTCTATCTGACATAGTCATTATTACTGCCAGATGATCTTAAAAACTCATATGTCTTGCCTGGGGTTTTTGTTCAGTTCTTCAGCGGAAGAAAAGCCTAAAGGCAGGATGAATGTTCAAAGCCACGTGGAGAATCCAGTGGTACTGCCAGTATTTTCTGAGTGGCAGCAAATTTGCTGGGTTATAATGCTTGGAGATGGTGCCAGTGTGTGCATAAAGACCTCAGATTAGAGTCTGGGAGCAGGCAAACAGAATGGGAGTTCTTGGCTCAGGATAAGCAAAACTCTTAAGGAAAGCCTGAGAAGTGTACACAAAGAGATATGATAAATTGTGTCCTATATAAAAACCTTAGCAAGATGAAAAGTTGCTAAGGAGAACGGAAAGAAAGCGGTGCCAGCTGGGATCACAGCTCAGTGGGGAAAGGGACATTCTTTTGCATTGCAAAATGAGGGGATGGAAACTCACAGAAGAGACAAGCTTGTTTTGAGTATGTCTAGCTTTCAGATGCCTGAGCAAGGCTCTGAATGGCACTAAAGTTGTGCTGCTGGTAGTTGGAGTTCAAGTTTTATCACAGAGTATGCCTCAGTTCTAGCTGACTTACTAGATGACAAAGTCTCCCTGTCTTAAGGGAACTCAAATCCTGTGGATACATCTGTAGTATTTTTTTCCCCATTTGAAGAGACATTTTTCCAGGCTGTGGAAATGCAGACAGATCCCTTCAGTGAGGTTTGTGATCTATCTCAGATTACAGGATGTAAATGCAAGAGTTCACCTGGCAAGTAGGATGGGCTGGAGAGCAAGTCTGCATATGTTGCATGACCCATATCTCACCTTCCATTGGAGCTGGTGTGAAACAGCTCCCACGAAGCCTGAGTGCAGCTAGTGTAGGAAAATCAGGAGAGTGAAGAAGGTGGTATAATGAGCTGTGTATATGGACAAGTATAACCTTTCCTTGATGCCTCAAACCCACAGATCTTTGATATCTGAACTCCATTTGGTAAGGGCTATCTCCAGTGCCCGGGGCTGGCTTGGGTAAAGGTAATGCTGATGAGATTAAACTGCATAGTGCGGTGGACACATCAGAAGGGACAGACATCTTACAGAGAGACCTGGACAGGCTGGAAGAGTGGGCTAGCAATAACAGTATGAAGTTTAACAAAGTGCAAAGTCCTGCACCTGGGTCGACACAACCTAAGAGCCCAGTACAACCTAGGATTTGTGTTTCTGGGGAGCAGCCTTGCTTAGAGGGACCTGAGGGTCTGGTGGCCAACAAGCTGAACATGGGTCAGCAGTGCAGCACTGCAGCAACAAAGCCAAATTGGGCTGCATCCACAAGGGCACTACTAGCAGAGACCAAGACAGGATCATTCCACTCTACTCAGCACTTGTCAGGCCACACCTGGAGAATCCAGTTCTGTTCCTCACAAGTCAATAAAGTTGTGGACAGACTGGAGAGAGTCCAGTGGAGGACCATGAAGATGATCAAAGGGGTGGTCAACCTGCCCTATGAGGAAAGATTGAAGGGGTTAGGACTCTTCTGCCTGGAGAAAAGGCCGGGGGGGACACCTCATCACAGTATTACAGTACTTAAAGGGAACTACAAAGCGGACAGAGGCTCTCTCTTCACAAGGATCCCCATGGAGAAGGTGAGGGGCAATGGGTGCAAGTTGCATTGGGAGAGGTTTATTCTCAATATAAGAAAGAAATTTTATACAGTGAATCCAGTTCTGTTCCTCACAAGTCAATAAAGTTGTGGACAGACTGGAGAGAGTCCAGTGGAGGACCATGAAGATGATCAAAGGGGTGGTCAACCTGCCCTATGAGGAAAGATTGAAGG